TCTTTTAAAAAATTCCAAAAGCTTGTCTTTTAATGCAGGGTGCTTGGTGTCCATGTGATGAAGCAGTTTTGTTTTGTTTTAGTTTTTACTATAGAATGCATGTGTTTCCAAAGAGAAACAGGGCCAGGGTGAGAAATCACTCTCAAGGGAGACAGCCATACTGCCATCCCTTCTCCTCTATTCTTCTCTCAGGATTTTGGACACACACACATGTGCTTGGTATGATTTTTGAGCTACCAGGTCCGGGACTCAGACCATGGAATTCGTCATGTGGTATCCAGTGCCTTAACCTTCATGCTACCTGCTGACCTGGCAAAGCAGTTTTGAAGGTTTCATGGCTTTGTTGAATAGCCAGTCACCACATATTTTACAAACTGGTCTTAGAGACTGAATCTCTGTTGCAATGAACCGACAATTTAAGTAGGACTTTTGGTATTTTCTTTTAAATGCAGCTTTCTTTTTGTTGGTAGTGTTAGAGTCTTCTGCTGTCTTATCATTGGATCTTCCCCTCTTTTCAAAGAAAATCTCCAGTGGCATTTGTTTTTTTTCTCATTTTGGCTAGGGTTAGCTTATGGGTTTACCAAAACTGACTGAGACAAGTACACAGTGTAGGAAAGAAGCATGAATGGAAGAAGTAAATAAAATATTGGATGGGCCACGCACAGACTAAAATGCGTGTTGGATTCCTACTTAAAGCCTGCTACCAAATGCAGCTGTGCAATTGAATAGGTCAACTCCATTGCTACTGTAAGGCCTACCACCAGATGCAGCCTAATTGTCACTTGCCACTTATTAGGTTGTTGGGAAAGTCATGATGTATTTTTCTATGCAAAAACGTGTCATGACTTTCCAGACAACTCAATATTACTGTCTGCGTACAGGTAAACCTCCCTGCTAATGTTTATTGGTATTTGTTGCTGCTCCCTAGTGCTAGCATCACTGCCTTAGCTCCACCCCATATCATCAGGCATTAGATTATCATGAGTGTGCAACCTAGATCTTTCGTGTGCGCAGTTCATAATAGCATTCCTTCTCCTATGAGAATCTAGTGCACCACTGATCGCTCCTATGAGAATCTAGTGTACCACTGATCTGCTAGGAGGTGGAGCGATATTGTGAGCAATGGGGAATGGCTGTAAATACAGATGAACTATCACTTGGCTCACCTTCTATTTACCTCCTGCTATGTGGCCCTGTTCCTAACAGGTGTCAGACAGGTACTAGTCCATAGCCTGGGGGTTGGAGACCCCTGCTGGCAGAATCCCACTTTATTTACTTAAAATTTATCTTAAGATTTTCAACCTAATGTCTCCATGTTTAGTAAAGTGGCCTGTCACTTATATATGACTGTTAATTAACATTTTTGGTGTGTGATTTTTATCTTACTTTCCATATGCATAGGTTTTGTTTTTTCTTTTAAAAAAGTATTATTTTATGGATGGTTATGTTTTTCTTGCTGCTTGATAGATGTTAAGTTTTTGTGTTTTGCATGTTTTTTTGTTTGTTTTTACTGTAGGGTACACGTACTCACCAGAGAGAGGCAAAGTGAGAAATCACGCCCCAAGGGAGATGGCCAAACTACAGTCCCTTCTCTTCCATTCTCTTCTCAGGATTTTGGGCATGCATGCACACCCCTCCAGTGTGATTCCAACCATGGATTCAGCCATATGGGATCCACCACCTTAGCCATCATGCCATCTGCTGGCCCATGTTTTTAGTTTTTTTACTTTTAAAATGAGATGATCCTGGACCCAGCCGGGCATGTGTGCGTGCGTGCCCAAATCCCGAGAGGAAAATGGAGGAGAAGGGATTGTGGTGTGGCCATCCCTGCCCTAGTGCGTGATCTCTCACTTTCTGTTTCTCTGTCTCTCCACTGAGTGCATATGCCCTATAGTATTAAAAAAAGAAAGGAAAAAGAAAATGAGACAATCCTGTAAAAGCATATGTCTTTGTGCACATGAATAATATTTCTGTTGGGTAGTTGCCTGGAAGTGCAATTGCTGGCTCAAATTGAATGCTATTTTTGATTTTGATAGATGCTGCCAAATTGTCTTCCCAAAGGAATTCATAAATTTAAATTCATGCCAGTGGTATTTAAGATGTTTTTTTCCCTGATCTTTACAATCAGTTAATAACGTCATTGTTTTCATTTTTGTCAATCCAGTAAGCGAAAAGTGGTATGTGATTGTTTCAATTTACATTTCTCTAGATTATGTCTTTGTAACTTTGATCCTACTTTCTGCCTTTTAGGAGTTAACTCCTCAACATTGTCAGTTAGCTGATAACATCTTTTCTTATTTACTTGGGCTGAGTCTGTCTTTTTTGTCTGCCTCTCTGCCTGTCTATTGGAATGAGATAAAATAGATTTTTTTGGAGATCAGCAGTTGGCGTAATGGCTTTGTCGCTGGACTCCCATGCAGTCAAACTGTGGTTCAAGTCCTGGACCCGGAGGGTTAAACTCATGCTGGGTGCGTGTGCATGTGTGCGTGCCCAAGATCCCGAGAAGAGAATGGAGGAGAAGGGACCGCAGCATGGCCATCCCCGCCGGGAGGTGATTTCTTGCTTTCTGTCTCTCTCTCTCTTTCTGGTGAGTGTACGTGCCCTATAGCAAAAACCTCTCCCCCCCAAAAAAATTTTTTGTTCTGTTACTTTATTGAACTTTAGGCAAAAAATAGAGTAGACTCATACACTCAGTCCACCATCCTGATAAATTTCTCTCATATTTTTTTTTCTAATCTATGGCTATATAGTATTTGCAATTATGTTCTTTCCTCCTTAACATTATATTTTAATCTCTTTTCTGTCTTATTATATAGCAATATAAGTGGTGTATAGTATTCTACTGTGTGTCCTAACATAGTTATTACTATAATAACTTTTCTATTGATTGCTATTTCCAAAATTTTATTGTTGTAAATAATGCTTCCAACATAAAGATTCTGGGTCTGGGTGGTTTTACTGGTGATTTTTTCTTTTTAAAGTCATTTTGGTTTTCTATTCCTAAACATAGAAGTGAATAGATAGTTGCCCAGCTGATCTGTGATCCAGACCTAACACTTATATCATCCAATAACAATTGCACAGAAAACAAAAACCTTAGATGAGCCTTACTTGTGAATGCATTGAGTTGTCAGAAAAGTCATATTTTTTCATATTTTTTAATGCAAAAAGGTGTCATGACTTTTCTGAAGACCAATAGATATGAACACCCTGTGTAGATACTCTCAAGTGAAATTCTTCCACAAGGCCATAATAGATAATAAATAATAGATAGCAGCCAAACAAGACAGACTGCAAAAGTGGAAGAAGGGCCCAATAGGATGAGACCTATTGGTAACAACAATTAGGTCTTTAAATGTGAAAACTGATTATCTCCATAGGTGCATAACATGCATTTAAAATAAACAAACCATCTCTAATAACTTTAAAAGGAAAACCAATAAAAAATCTTCTTTACATGCTGCAGGGTCCTGCCTCAAGCCAGTTAGGCATTCTCATTAGAAACCAACAAGGAGACTGTCTACTACTTGATATTATTTTACAAGCTCTGGCTGATGTAGTAAGGTATGAAACAGAAATAAGACTTAAGACTTTGAGGAACCAGCAGTTAGCATAGTGGCTATGTCACTGAACTCCCATGTAGGTTCAAGTCTCGGACCCGGTGGCATAAACTCACGTCGGGTACATGTGCGTGCCCAAGATCCCGAGAAGAGAATGGAAGAGAAGGGATTGCAGCGTAGCCATCCCCCCGGGGGGTGATTTCTCACTTTCTGTCTCTCTGGCGAGTGCACGCGCCCTATAGCAAAAGCCTCTCAAAAAAAAAAAAAAAGACTTAAGACTTTGAAGATGAAATAAAATTACTTTTTGTGTTTTTTAGTATGATATCTCTGATTCAAACATGACACTCAAATGATAGATTCTGTTAATTTTTTAAAATTACTAAGAAGACACATTTATAAAGGAAAGACAAATTTGTCTCTTGTATCTTAACACATGTCTCCTGTTACTTTTTAAAAATCCTGTTATTTGTGGGTAAAATAGTCTTTTTTTGTAATTTATTTATTCCTTTACTTATTTTATTTTGACCAGAGAGAGACACACAGAGAGAGAGAAAGTGAGAAAGCAAGTCACCAGGTCCAGGACTTGAACCACAGTCCAGCCATGTGGGAATGTCCAGCGCCTTAACTACCACACCACCTGCTGGTCCCCAGGGTTGAATAGTCTTGATTATCTGGTGGTCTGTGTTGAGATCTCTCAAGCCTTCTTCAGCCCAGGGCTGGGTGCTCAATACCTGCGACTGGCTGAGTGGTCTGATTCTGTGATGTTTTTGATGACCTTTCAATGAGTCATTTTTGCGCTCTGGGGCATTCTCAGAGGCATGAATCCCAGAGTGAGTGAGTGAGTAAGGAAGGTATGAGGAGAAGGATGCAGAAGAACAAGTTCGTGACATTGTTGTCCCAACAGTCAGCTCTTTGTTCAGCAAACCATCGTGCTCCCTCAATGCTAGGCATTTCGTGTGTGTGTATATATGTATGTGTGTGTATATGTGTGTGTGTATGTGAGTGTGTGTGTGTGTGTGTGCATGCTTGTGTGTGCATGTATGATGTTTTTTGTTTCCCAGATGCTGTGTGTGCACACAGAGAAGGGGAGCGAGCACTCTCCAGCGGGGCCTGGTCACACCACATTTTTTCTCATGCTTTTCCATCCTGTCAGAATTTGGGATACACACACATTTGTGGCCAATGTGTTTTCGAAGCTGCTAGGGCTGGGACTTCAACTGTGCAGTCAGCCATGTGGGCTCTAGCTTCCTTAACCATCAGGCCACGGGGCCAGCCCCTCTGCATTTGCGTGCTATGTAGCTGCTGTCCTTCTTCCAGAGTCATTTAGAAGTAACCGTTGGGTTAAGCACTACACAGAAATCTTTTCTCAGTAGCTAGCTATCTCTAATTATGGTTTATGACTTCGGTCTCTGAAATTGCTTTCTCTTTTTTCTCTGGTAGCATGTGGAGAGGGCCAAACGTGAACTGCGTTGACAGCACTGGCTACACGCCCCTGCACCATGCTGCTCTCAACGGCCATAAGTAAGTATCGATGTTGTATTCCTGCCCTCCCCTGCAGAGCCCAGGCCTTCCGTTTGTCTTGCTTGCCTCCTATGACAGTTTACTCAGCAGTGGCGCCTTGGAACAGAGAAAAGCAACTAAATCCAGTCCATCCGAAATTCCCGAGTCTCTCTTTAGTGTATAAGTTAAAGGACCTTCCCCCAACACCTACCCCCTCCAAAAAAATCTTTAGCCAAAGGTTAAGTTTTACCTTTTCTTGTGCTTTTGCTCTCTGGAAGAAAAATGTCCCAGTGCCACGTGGTGATCTAAATATGAAGAACAAATTTAGGGCAGCCAGATCGGAAAGGGCCTGGAATCTATTAGGTAACTAACTAATCCCTTGGTAAACTGAAAATAGGTTGAGTGGTCATGAGAAACTTGGCTTCTGTTAAAGTGGTTATTCATTGACTCTATCTCCTTGCCTCCCGTGCTTTCTTTTTAAAATTAGCCCTGTAGATAGCAAGAGCCCTTTTTTATAGTTTGTTTATTTGAGAGAGAGAGAGGAAAGGAACCTCAGCAGGGTCTCACACCAGGTTCCTCCCATCCTTCCCAGCCAGCCAGAATGTCCTAGCTAACCTGAGAACTAAGCCTCAGTCTTCCATGTGGATTCCAGCATTGCATAGTATTGTCCTGCTGCTGCACCACAGTGGCTGGGCCAAGGGGAACCATTTTTAAAGGGAGGAAAGACATAAAGAATATGGTCTTTTTAATTCTCTTAAGTATAGAGAGGTTATTAGGAAGGTGAGATTTGTGTGGAAAGTTTTCTGGAGAAGGCATGCTTTGGGGGGAAGTTGAGAGAGAAGGTAAAGGCTTAAACAGTTGACCTCTACCCTTCAAGTGAGGGAGGGTATGATGATGCAGCCAACAGTAAGGCCCAGTTGTGGAGCCCAGGGAGTGGATGTGCCAGGGTGCTGATATGTGGAAACCAAGAGTGTGACAGAATAGAGGGTTTAGAGTTGAAAGCAAACTACGATAAGGAGATAAGCAAAAGTTTAATTTTTTACTTTTTTTTTGTTTGTTTTTTGTTTTTTTGTCTTTTTGCTATATGCTGTGTGCACTCATCCTGGAGAGAAAGAGGGAGAGAAAGGGATAGAAATTACCACTGCACAATCCATTCTCCTTTTGAGACTGTAGGCACAGTCATGCACATGTGCCCAGCCTGATTTTCAAGCCACTGGGTCGTGGACTCGAACTGCGAAGTTGGTCATCTGGAATCTAGCTGCCTTAACCTCCACACCACCTGCTGGCCCCCGAAGTTTAATTTTTATTAGTTATTGGAATCGTAATAGATTTTTCTGAACAAGGAAAAAGCCCTCATTTCCTTCGAGTATTCTGTATCACTTGGCCAATATTTAACTCAGACTATCTGACTCTGACATACCCCAAGAAATGCAATGCTAACTTTCTTCAACCTTAAAATATGTTGAATGTGATCATTATGTCTTTTTTCTTTTTTTTTTTTGAGAGGTTTTTGCTATAGGGCGCGTGCGCTCGCTAGAGAAAGACAGAGAGATAGAAAGCGAGAAATCACCCCCC